CTCCCGCACCCCTCCGTACTCCCGCCCTCCTCTTCCCTCCATCCGGGCTGGAGGTGTAAGTCCGCGAGAGGCGAATTCCCCACTCGCATGGGTTCGTGGGTCCTCCAGAGCGTTTCTGAGGGGATAACGCTCACAGGATGTCCCCATGGTGATCGCTTTCTTATTCCTTGTTTTGCCGATCGGCGCGGGCCCTCGCACCTGGCCCCCCCCAGGAGTGGATCTTGGCTGTTTCTGGCGCCTGTGTCGAGCAGGCGGAGCCTCCCCCAGAAGACGCACTGCTGCTAACAGTCGCGCTCAGCAGAGGTCCGGAGCCAGACCCCCCCCCCCTTCCCCCCCTTCACCCAGTGTCGAAGCGCCGAATAAGGGAACTATCGCCTGAGGCAGCGCGTCCTGACCGAGCCGGCTTAGGGCAACCTCGGCGCCCCCCCAACATACCAAGATAGTGTGTGCGTCGCTCCGCCAGGGGCGACGCGCGCACCGACAAATCTCAGGGCGTATGCGTCGTGGCGGGCGCCTTCTGGCCACACCGCCCGGGAACCGATGTACCACAAGAGTGTTATGATATACACAAAATGTTGGGGCCGTGCGCGCGCCTCTGGGGAGGACATCCAGCACTGCAGCAGGCCCTCGTCCGTCCCGGAAGCCCCGGGTGATCCCTCCCTCCCCAGCCCCGTCCCCCGGCCTCGGCATGCGCCGCCGCGCCCCCAGATGCTGACGGCCCCTTCTTCGAGGGCGACAAGGCTCCAGCCCCCCGTGGGGAGGGTCAAGACCTCGTGGAAGCCCGGGCGCTCCCCAGACCTCCAGCGCAGGCAGTGGTCCGAACGAGAGGATCGACTGCAGAGTTGATCTGCTCCAGACTTGTTTGTCCCGCCGGCATTGCAAGCAGCGCGCAGAATTGTCCGTAGAGCTACGAGGCATTCTCCGCATTTGTCGTAGATTCGGCGGGGAAATCAACGGTGGGGTATATAAATTCTGTGGTCGATCCCCTTCTCGAGTGTTCGACGGCAAGGCCCTGAGCTCCTGGCGTCGCAGTTTTTCCACACCGGGCGTTTCCGCCCAGTTTCGGGACCCAGGGCCATCCCAGATAGATCCGGCACGAAACATGCAGCGGAAAGATGCGGTCCAGGGTCTTGTTTGTGTTTTATCAGGAGAGGAAAAAACACACAGACACAATTAATCGGCGATTCCCAGGAAAATATGGGAAAATATGGGAAGCGGGGGGGAAGACAGAAACCCAGAAAATATTGGAAAATATGGGGAATCCTTTTATTTGTGTGTATTTATTTGTGTGTCCCAGTTTCCCTTCATTTTTGCGATGTTGCAATGTGTTGCAACGTTGGTTCGCAGGGTGCGGAGTTTCCTCCTCGTGTTCGGCCCCGGGGGGGCCGTTGCCGGGCCCAGGGGCTGCCAACACACGGCTCAGGATGAGAAGCCCGTCCTGCAGGAAAGGATCGGGACTTCGGGGGAACCGTGCTGAAAAGAGCCATGCGCTGGGCCTTTAGACTTTCGCAGGCGATTTCTCTCCCCCAATCCCCGACTTCCGCCAGAAAAGTTCGGTCGCTCAGAAAGGGGGAGGAATCTTGGGATACATCCCGAGGGGGCTATTCGGACGCACCCCTGTCGAGGATGGACGCCCCCCCCTCGTATATCCCAGGGTTGGGCCCCAAATTGTTGATCCTCTCGAAAACCGCACGGAGCCTGGGATAGGGGTCGACGCATCCCCTGTTAGACTTGAGTTTCTCTTCACCCTTGATGCCGGTCTGGACCTCCGCTGGCCTCCGCATGCGCCCAGGGATTTCCATGGTCCTCAAGGGCCCCCAGGCCTCCCCTGAGATCCGACGACGCGACAAGTTTGAACATTGTCAAGAATCACGACCGCAGCCCCGGATCCCATCCTTTTTGCTGCATTGTTCTGGCCGGATCGATCTCTGAGGGTCCTGGGACCCCAAGTTGAGCGAAAGCAATAGACGCGAAACAATCGCGACGCCTGGGCCTCAGGGGACCCCAGGCTTCCTTCTGAGCCCGGGCTTCTTTCTGAGCCCGTTCGGCGTCTGAGCCCACTCGGCCGCCGAGCGGACTCGAGATCGAGCTCACTTCCTCGGGCTGAGTTCCTCTGGCTGAGTGCCTCATCTCCCGGAAGCCGAGCTGGCTCAGCTCCTCGGCTTTGCGCACTCGGGGGGCGAAGAATGTGCACCTCCTGTGCACCTCTGGGCCCCCGATGGGGCCATCTGGTCGCCAAAGGGAAACGGAAGGTGCTCGTTTCTTCGCCCCCCCCCGGGGGGGGGCGAAGAAACGGGGGCGTTGCTCAGTGCGGGGGGGCAGTTGCTCAGTGCGGGGGGGGGGGCGTTGCAGTGTGGGGGCAGTACAAGGGAAAAGGGGCGTTGCTCAGTGCGGGGGGCAGTACAAGGGCCCTTGTACTGCCCCCCCGCACTGAGCAACGCCCAGGATCCCACGGCACGGTCGGAAGTGAGCCCGTTCCGCTCAGTATCGTTGATCCGGCCCCCATCCCCACCCCCATCCCCTTCGAGACCCCCCACCAAAGTACCACCCCAGTTGGGGATACACCCCTCGAAACTCGAAGGGAGCGACCTATATCCCCATCTAGGGGGGTAAATCTGCCATTTGGGGCCCAGGCCACGCCGCCGGGTAATCGGTTAAACGATACTCATCCGCTGACGCCCAACGGGCTCAGAAGGAAACCCTTGGGACGTCTACAGACCTACCCCGCGAGAGGGTCGCGAGAGTCAGATGCTCGCCCTGGGCACCTTCGAGGTCGGGGCACGAGGTTTTCGAGGGTTCTCGGAAGGTCTCGGCGGTTTTCGAGCCTCGGGATGTTTTCCAGCAGCTGCGCCTCGCCGAGAGCGTTCCGAGGGTGCCTGGACTGTCCCGAACGGCCGCCGAGGAGAGCCGAGGTATTACCCGAAGACCTCGAGGGGTTGGTGCCGACCCTGAGGTCCTGGCGTCGCAAGTTTTTCGCGCTGGCCGTTCTCGCCTTGTTCTGGGCCCTGCGACCCTCACGGATCGATCTGGCCCAAAGAATGGGGCCTCAAGGCGGGGTGCTGGGTTGCGGCCGTGACTTTTCATGACGATGCAGGTTTTGCGCATCCTCGGATGTGAGGGTCGGGACGTCTGTTACCAGGTTGTTCCTTGTGCTTGGCATCGTCTTATCTCGATGCCGATCTGAGGATGTTCCTCATTTTCTGAGGGCGCATCCCTAATATTGTCATCGCCTTCTGGCTTGTCAATCTTAGGGATAGGAATCATTTCGAGGCTGGTTTGTCTGGATACCTACACTCACAACGCTGGAAATTAGAACCTGGTCAAAACGCACCACAGGAGAGGTCCCGGGAGTAGCGGCATCGGTATTATTGGTTTCCCCAGATGCATTTCAACGTCAGGATGGATCTTGTTTGTTTCATCGCTACGGTGATAGTCTATTTACCGCTGTGCTGTTCAGGTCTCATGGGGTTTATCGCTTCTGTGGGTTAATGTGACTCCCCGTGGCCTTTCTCGACGAGGTGTGTACTCATCCGGCGGACGCGAAGGTGAAGTGGGAAGGCATTGAAGGGTTGCCTGTTCTTCTGCAGAAGATGCGGTCCACTTGTGATCATTCACTCGAGGCCGTGGTACGTCTATTAGCTAGTAAGGACGCGCGCCTTCATTCAGGGTCCCTTGTGTACTTGCCTCTGCGGCCCGTCCTTTGCCGTTTTCACTGGTCCCCCGCCACCCGCAACGTCCCAATTTTGGCCTCCAAGGGTCTTGCGTCCTTGCCACCCGTCCTCAATACACGTTTTGATTGCAGTTGCTCGCGAGAGAGGAGCCAGGTGTGTCTTCTCGTGGACCCACCAATGCGTCGCGTGGCGGCGGTGCTGATTGTGCCCTGTACTCCTCGCTCGGATTTCCACGAGTTCTGTCGAGCAGTGGTGGCCAACGACTGCGTTCTCTTTGGCCATGCGCTGCCAATTGCTAATTGGCCCACGCAGCAACGCAGTAAGTCAAGCGGTGTGGAACGTTGACGCATCACGACGCGAGTGCCAGCGTTTGGAGACCAGTGAAATCTTGCACCGCAACACGGAGGCCTTCGTGAGGTGTCAGGGCCTCGTCGCGATCGGGGAGGACAACGGGCCAATGCTTGAGGCTTATATCAAGCTCGTGCGCAGCTACGCAAGAAGGCTGTGGAGGCCGTGGGCTTCGTCCTCACGGGTGTCCACTGGTCGTTGATCTGTTCCTGTGCTCTCCCCGCGGGGAGCAGCGGCTGCTCAGCAGCCTCGGCAAGCGCCTCGCCCATCGGGCAGGTACAGCTCTCATTGTCTTGGCCGTAGCTGCCATCTTCACGACGCTGTCCACGGTGGAGTAGGCACTCGCGGTGCCTCTGCTTGCGGCGGCATTCGTGGCCCAGCAGCACCCGCTGAAGCCCGCAGCAGGGGGCGAGGGCTCCCCGCGACGATCCTGCATTCTGTGCGCACGCTGGGCGCGAGAAGCACCTGGGCCTGGGCCTCTCCGGCTGAGACAGCTGACGCCGGGTGATCGTTTTTTGATTCATTGTTTTGCCGATCGGCGCGGGCCATCGCACCCCCCCTCCCTCCCCGATCTGGAGTAGATCTTGGCTGTTTCTGGCGCCTGTTTCGAGCAGGTAGAGCCTCCCCCATAGGACGCACTGCTGCAAACCGTCGCACGAAGCCGAGGTCTGGAGCCATACCCCCCCTACCCCACCTTCTGCCCAACGTCCAAACGCTAAGCAGGAAAACGTTCACCAGCTCACCGGCACAGTTCGGGGGCCCCCAACTGGGGTGGTGACCCCGCCGTGTGGTGAGTCGGTGGGGATTCGGGGTCACGGCACGGTTTTGGGACTCGGGTCGTTCTCCGAGGATGCGCCTCGGGCGACTGAGGCCCCCAGGGTCCCAACACCGTGTGGTGACGGACCCTGCCGTGAGGTCTTTGCCGATCTCGAGGTCGCAGCGAGGTCTGACACCACACGGTTTTGGGACCCCCAAACAGTCAGGGCATTCAGCTCAGCTGTGGGCGGCAGCAAATCTGGGGAGGCGTCCCCGCGCTCGCGGGCCCACAGCCCGCCGCGGTTCCGCTCAGCAGCGCGGCGGTGCCCTCCCCCCCAGACCTCAGCAGGCCTCGCGAGGCGGCAGTCGACTGGTCGACGGAGCGAAACACAACAAACATCACGCCTTCCTGAGATTCAGAGGAGGAAAAAGGTACCCATACCTGTACCCCTTCACCCGTCTTCCCCTTTGGGGGCCTCTTGGGAGGCCCTCGTCGCCACCGCTGGATTCGCCTCGAAATGCTGGTCAGGGCGCACTCCGGGAGAGGTCCGGGGAGTAGCGGTATCGGTACCTTTTGGTCTCCCCAAGGATACAGCCCTTCCTGGCAATCCTGGCCTAATAGTCCTTGCCCTCGGCAGTGGCACCATGCCAGGGCCTCCTCGGGTGTCTGACATCCACCAGTGCCAAGCCTCCCGCAGACGTGGACTGCGCAGCGCCGCCGCTCACACACGGAGCCTGGACCTCGAGGCACGGCATAGGAAGTTCTGGCGCACGACGCCCAGATTCACAATTCCAGGAGCCACGAAGCAGGAGCATGAGGAGGAGAAGCAAACGGAGATGCAGGAGGAGGACGAACACTCACCGGAGGGAGGAGGAGGAGGAGGAGGAGGAGGAGGAGAGGGAGTGTGAAATGGAGGAGGTGGAGGAGGAAGATGAGGCGGATTGCCCGCGTAAATTTATGACTGTGCTTTCGTCCCCGCGCCCTTGCTCGAGGAGGAAGATGGGGATTGAGCGACCGCAACGTTCGAGGAATTTCTGGGCGAAGTGGCCAATGCGACAGAGGTGACATTGCATGGCCTCAAGCCCCGAGAAGCACGGCGATATGGTTGAGGAAGGTGGTTTGCTGCCCCACATGGCCACCTCCTCTCACGTGGCCACGTGTTGCTTGACGACCTTCTTGTGGTCGAAGGTGCTGAATCACATGCCCACGTGACGGCGCAGAACCAGGCGGCGACGCGCCAAGGTCAGCCGCACACCCGCGCCTCGAGCGACTGGCATTGGAAGCGCTGCAACTAGATGTCGCCTCGCTTGCCGCCGCCGCCGCCGCCCCTGCTTGAGAAACTAGAAGGCCAGGCGGAGCGACCACTGCCCCTTGCCGAACGCCTCGAAGACCGACTGAAGCGGGCGCAGGGCCACTTGCCGAACGCCTGGAGGACCAGCTGGGAGCACGCGGTCAGGGAGAAGCAGGACGAGGACGAGGACCAGGGCAAGGCGGAGGCACTTAGGTGGTGCGTGGAGGAGGAGGAGGCGGAGGCGGAGGAGGAGGAGGAGCAGTGGGAAAAGCAGGAGGAGGAGGAGGAGGAGGAGGAGGAGGAGGAGGAGGAGGAGGAGGAGAGAGGAGGCAGGATGATGGTAGAAAATAGAAACCCTGTAGGGGCATCATGCCTGGGACTGGTGCCGGGATCGGCCCCTTCCCTCGCCCTCCCCGCTCGTGGCCGGGAGCCACCGGCCCCGAGAGCAGCGCAATGTCTTGTCCTGCAGTGATCTTGCGGTGCGCACTTGCATGGCGCACGCCTTTGTGGGCCCTGGAAACGGCAGGGCCGTTTTTTTTACCGTTTCCAAAAAAATGTCCCTTGAAAATGGAAACGGCAAAAAAACGGCGACCGGAAACGGCAACAAAAGCTGCTCCAGGATTGGAACCGGAGCCGGAACCGGTCCAAAAACGGCGACGGAACTGGTAAAAAAAACGTCGTCGGAACCGGCAAAAAAACGGCAGAACGGAACCGGTAAAAAAACGGCCCTGTCGTTTCCAGTGCCCACTAAGGCGCACGGTATTCCGAATGATCGGGGATGTGTTGGACGACGCAGGCCTCCCGAAGTCGCGAGCTCTTTTCGCAGCGTGGACCCCTTCGAGGTCTGGGGGGGGCCCTTGCCAACAAAACCAGCTCGTGATCCCGAGTCGTTGTCGTGGCTGTCCCCGGAGGAGATCTGGCGAGGAATTGAGCAAATGCTAACGTGAGTATTAAACTCGCCCGGTGCGCGCCCGCGCAGGTCCACTACTGGAGCGCCAGCGTCAAGAAGTGGATCATCGCCAGGTGGGCGGAGCGTCTCTGCCGGCAGCCTCCTCCGCCATGCACACCATGAGGCAGGCCCGTCGAGACGGCAGGCGGCCCCTCTTCGGAAATTGTTCGGCCCTTGGGACGGCCTCTTCGTCGCCACGGCTGGATCCGTTGCGCACCCCCCTCGTGTACGCTCCCCTCTGGGACGCCCCCCGATATCGCCAAGGCGGGCCACAAAGCCTCCAAGACGCCCCAAGAGAGCGCTCCAGGAGGATCCCGCCGATGGATGGACCCAAGAGGCCGGAATCGCCCCGTCCCTTTGCGTACGCATTTTTTCTAGCCGGAGCCCCCTCGGGGTCCGGCAATTCGCCTTCCCCAGTCCTCCATCTGTATGTTTTTCTGCGTGTGTGTGGGTGTAAGAGAGAGAGAGAGAGAGAGAGAGAAACACACATATATATATATATACATATATATATATATATATATATATATATATATATTTGTGTGTACAAGACTGCAGTGGCGCTTCGCGCCACGCACCTTGATCCTTGAAGTTTGGCCCGCAGGCGGAATAGCAGGAAGGTCAAGACGACTGCCTTTTTCCGGCATCGCCGGTATTATAATGGTATTCGTTATCCTTCTACCATGCTTCTTTTTCCTTCTTTTCGCCATACCCTGCGCATTCTCCCCATCCTCCTCAGCTTTTTTTTGCCGAGGCTCCTCTTTGGAGAGCCTCTGGGGGCCTCACAAAAGTTGTTTCAGGTTTTCTTAAGGCCTTCTGGAGGCCTCTTTGGCGTATTCTGGGGGCCTCTGGGGGCTTCCTCAGGCCACCCTGCCTCCAACCGCGGTCTCCCTGAACGACCGGGTCACGATTTGGAATGCTTCGGAGGGTGTCTTTGGGCCATCTTGGGCCGCCATCGGGCTCTCTGAGGGCCATCTTAGACCCGTGTTGTGCCGTTTTGGGGCTCTCCTGGACTGCCTGGAATCCCTTTCGGATGGTTGTGGGGCGATTTTGGAGCTTCGGACGCCCAGAAGACCGCCGTCTTGGAGCGTCGGGAAGCCGAAAAGAGGAGAACCCCAAAATTCACCAGAAACCAACTGAGAATCAATGATTTTTGCCTCGGGGGGGCTTTTTGGGAGTGCTCTTGGAGGCCTCTTTGGGGCCGTCCTGGAGGCCTCTTGGGCCATCTTGAGGTCACGTCGGTCACTCTTGGAGCGCGTCTTGGGGGTCTCTGGGACGTCTCCGATGACCCCCCTGATCGCCCTAGGTGTGCTGGGAAGGCTTGGCAAAACGCCCTGCGAGGCCCGGGGGCCGCTTCGAGGCCCGTCTGGAGGGTTCCAAAGCCCCAGATCCCAGGAGTCCGGTTTTGGGGGCGGGGGGGGACGGGTTTTCCCCCCGCCCGGGCTTGTAAAAATGTAGGAAGAGGAATTTGTGCATATGTGTATATATTTGTTTTCATCACGATCCTCGAGCCTCGATCACTGCGCCGCCGCCCCCAGGGTGCAGAAGGTGAACGACGACGGCTCTTACGACCTCAACTGCAAGAAGCGGGTGCCGGCGTCGAAGGCGCCGGTCGCAGCCTCCCCCTGGTTGCCCGTCGCCTGTCCGGGCCCCGGGCCGTTGGCGCCCCGGCGCCTCGCAGGGCGTGCGCGCGCGAGGGGGGCAGCAAGGGTCGGAGTTGAGCTGGACAGGTCGAATGCGAGCCAGCATTCCTCGCCCATTCCCATCCTCCTCGGGGAAGAAGAAATCGCAGCATAGTAATAATTAACAATAATACGAAAAAAAAAGAATAATACGAAAACCAGAATCGCAATGTTGAGAATACCACGAAGCATACCAATAATAGCAACGATTGATAATAATTATAATCAGGAGGGTAAAAAACACACAGACACAATTAATCCTCGATTCCCCAGAAAATATGGGAAAATATGGGCAGTGGGGGGGAAGACAAAAACCCAGAAAATATTGGAAAATATGGGGAATATTTTTATTTGTGTGTATTTATTTGTGTGTCCTGGGGCCCCTTCATAATAGTAACGATTGATAATAATCATAAGCGTAAGAGATTTCGGAGCTCCGCGCGGCTTTTCTGGATCGGCGCCGCGCCTCCCTGGCGGCGCACGGGGGGCGGCGCCAGAGCGCGCCAAGGGCGGCGCCGGAGGCGCCGCCCCACGGGGGCCTGGCGCCGACAAAAAGGAAATCCGCGCGGAGCTCCGAACATTGTGGTTTACGCAGTTGCTTGTTTCTCGAGGAGGAGGAGGAGGAGGAGGAGGAGGAGGAGGAGGAGGAGGAGGATGGCCTCCGAACGTTGTGGTTTATGCAGTTGCTTGCTTCTCCAAGTCCCTCCTATGACATGATTCAGAAGGAAAAGAAACACACAGACACAATTAATCCTCGATTCCCTAGAAAATATAGGAAAATATGGGTAGTGGGGGGGAAGACAGAAACCCAGAAAATATGGGAAAATATGGGGAATCTTTTTATTTGTGTGTATTTATTTGTGTGTCCTAATTTCCCTTTAAAGTCCCTCCTCTGACATGATGGCCAATGGTGGCGGAGGTGAATCTATTTGGGGCTGGCGCGCGTTCCCACCCAGCGAGCGGGAGGCGCTCGCGCGTCGGTGCCGCTTGGCCGGGTCACGCACGGTCAGGAGGGGATAAACACACAGACACAATTAATCGGCGATTCCCAGAAAATGTGGGAAAATACGGGAAGTGGGGGGGAAGACAGAAGCCCAGAAAATATGGGAAAATATATGGGATGATTTTATTTGTGTGTATTTATTTGTGTGTCTCAGGGCCCCTTCAATGATGGCCAATGGTGGCGGAGGTGAATCTATTTGGGGCTGGCGCGCGTTCCCACCCAGCGAGCGGGAGGGCCTCGCGCGCGGTGCCGCTTGGCCGGGTCACGCACGGGCGCAAACACACAGAACACGGGGCACGCACGGGCGCGAGCGGAATGCCTTGAAAATCGTTGCGTAGCGCTGCGTTTTTTTTTTTTTTTTTTTTTTTTTTTTTTTTTTTTTTTTTTTATATATATATATATATATATATATATATATATAAAAATCGTTGCGTAGCGCTGCGGTGGTGCCGTTTGGCCGCCCCTCGTGCGTCCAGTCTCTCGTGCGCGGCAGAGACGGAGCCTGCGCTGCCACTTCTACGCACAATCTGTTTGGCGCTTCGGCGAGAGCAGCAGTTCGCCCGCTCTCGCGCGGCACCATTGCCGCTGCCACCTTTCACGCGAGGCGGCGAGCAAAACATGGGCCGCGCTCGCGCGGGAGCGCCACTTCCGGGCGACGTGCGCGCGGAGCTCGGGCGAGGCGACGAGTCGCCCGCTCGCGCGCGGCTCCACCCCCCAACGACCTGGCCAGTGAGAGATATGTTCTGCGCCGGGGCAGGGGCGCGTCTTGCAGGCTCCTGCTGCGCGGCGCCTGGGCGGGAGCCAGACGTTCGTCCGCGGGAGCGTCGGGTCCTGAATATTGACGAGCGGAGCGGGTGTGGCGCCCCGGTGCCGGGGCCGAATTTCAGCGAAATGGAATGGGCATGGCACCGAGGCGGGAGCACCAGTTCGTCCTTTCGATCGAGGTGCGCGCCCCGTCCCACTCCGGCAGCGTGTGTTGCAACGCCGGCGCCACATCTTTCAAAGCGTCCCTGTTGAAGGAAGAACGTTCGCTGCTCCTAGGCATCGCTCGGACGTGTGCATCTTCTCGGCGAGGTCAGCGCCGGGAAATCTGGACCATCTTGGAACATCTGGGACCACCTAGGTAGTCAAAGCCGGAGTCAAACAATGGACGGGGAATGAGCGTCCGAGCGATTGGAAGTATTGACAGTTCGGATGGTGGCATTTGGACGGGCATCAGAAGCACTGGGCGTCGAGCGTCAAGCGCGCGCGGTCCACGATCGCGCCGTCCGTGGCAGTGGCGGCGCACGCCGCGCAAGGCCAGACTACGGGGGCAGCGATAGCGGACTTTGGAGGGGGCGCGGCGTCAGATGTCCAGCTGCGTTGCCATCGCGCCCGTTGCCATCGCGCCCGTTCCTTCAACAGCATGCCTTGCAACGACGTTGAGATGTTGGGCGCGCAAAGGTTGTCGCAGGTTCTCCGAGGGGAAGACGTGCGCTCGGAAGACCTGGGAGGCGCAGATGATGCCGCGAGACGAGCGCGAGCGGCGCTGGCGGACGACGTAGGTAGGAGCGTTCGCGAAGTGTGAGCTCCAGAAGAAGGAGAGGCCAGTGCCACGCAAATAGTGCAGGGCGGAAGTGAGAAGCGGACGAGACATGGCGCACAACGTGCAGGGCACGGGCGGCAAAAGCTTAGGGTGACGGGCGCGATGGCGACCTGGGCGTCGCGGCCGCTGGCGGCACGGAGGAGCCGAAAACGATGTGGACCACGCGTTGCAATCGTGTCGAGGCACAATGGCAGCCGCGCCGAGGCAACGCGAAGTGGAACGAGAGCATTGGCACAGTGCGAGGTTCGAACGGTAGTTGCCTGTTCGCATTTTGGAGAGAATGCGAAGTTGTCGGAAGAGGGCAAAAACAGCACAACGCAGCAGGGATGGGGCCGCGCTGGACATGCGCGGAGGTGCGCGACAAGCTGACTCGAGAGGCAAACCAACTCAAGCGGGAAGCAGAGGCGGAAGCGAAGCCGCTGACGCGCGCGGCTTGTGGGGAAGTTTTCTCGGGCGCGAGACGTCTTAAGAGGGGCGAGTTCAATGTATTTGCGTGGCACGCGTGGATTGCGCGCGCCTTGGTTTCTCGGCGCGTAGTTGGCAGGCCTATCAGCTCAGTGGGACGCGCCAGAATATATTGCCGAATCTTGCGTTCGCCGCGGCGGCTGACTGCGTCGCGCGCCCCCGTATTCGGACCATGCGTTGCGTGAAGTGCAGCCGTGTCAAGGCACAGCGGCAGTCGCGACGACGTGACGCGTAGTGGCAAGAGAGCGTTGACACAGTGCAATGTCCGAGTGGCATTGTCGCATTTCAGAGAGAAAGCGGAGATGTCGGACACACAAAATAAGCACAACGCAGCAGGGATGGGGCCGCGCTGGACTTACGCGGAGGAGCGCGACATGTTGACTCGAGTGGCAACACAAACTCAAGCGGGAAGCAGGGGCGGTAGTGAAGCCGTTGACGTGCGCGGTTCGCGGTGAATCTTTCCCGGGCGCGAGACGCCTAACGAGGAGGCGAGTGGAACAATAACGCTAGAAGAAGAAACAGATGCGCGCGTTCTGCGCGGGCACGCACTTTGGTTTCAAGGCCCGCAGTTGGCAGGCCGATCGTTTCACTGGAACGCGCCAGAATCAATTGCCGAATCCGGCATTCGCCGCGGGGGCTGACTGCGTCGCGCGCGTGCCGAAACAGAATGCACCCTGAAATGCAAGGTATGCAGATGATGCCCCTCTGGGTTGGTGCTACACGAATCGGGGTCCGTGGAAACAGAACAAGAAGGAGGGCATCGAGCATGAGAAAAAAAAACGGACAGGAGGAGGAGGAGGAGGAGGAGGAGGAGGAAATGGACGGGGGCGAGGGAAGAGCAACAGGAGGAGGAGGAAGAGGAGGAGGAGGAGAAAGCTCCGTGCGGGCTCCCACGCTGTGAAATATCGAGTTCTGCGGCTCTCCCAGCCGTCGTGTCTGCGTTGTGGGGAAGGTCTGCAGGGCAGATTCTTGGGGTTTTATTGTTGGCCACACTCTAGGATCCTTTGATGAGGCTTGTCGGGCGCCTCGTGGATGCATTTTGGAGCCTTTGGGGTTCGTTTGAAGTTTTTCGCGCGTCATGGGGCACTTCGGAAGCCTGCTGCATTTTTTGGGGTTCTTCTGAATCCTCCTGCATGCTTGCTGGGGCGGGAAGCTCGAATCGTCGGTTCGGGCACCCGCTGTTGGTCACTTCTCGGGGCGGTCGTGCGTTTGGGGCGTTTGGGGGATTTTCTTTGGGCCGTGTTGGGCTGTGCTGGGGCTCTCTTAAGGGCCTTGTGGGGCCGTCTTGGGGGAATGTGGGCAAGATCAAACGACGGGAAAGCCGAAAGCCGTGAATGGTAAGATTATATCTCTGCCGCAGAGAATTGAACGTTTCTTGGCTCTTGGAGCCATCTTTGAGAGCTGGTTGGCGCGTTTCTGGGACATCTTGGGCCGTCTTGGAGCCATCTTGGGCGTCTTGGGGAGTTCTCTCAGCGATTCGGGACCTTCTTCGACCGTCTTGGGTGCGTCTCGGGGCCCTGTTGTGTCGCCGGGGAGGCCTCTATCCCCGCGTGCGGCGTTCGGCCTGGGCCCAGCGGGGAGGACATGCCGCGTCCAGGGCGGGCCGAGGGGGGGAGCGAACTCCCGGTCTGGGGTGCCCCGTGGGGGGTCATGGGGGGGAAGCAGTTTCACTCGCCTGGAGACCCTTCGTGGGGTCGGCGGATTTGCTACCTGCGCCAGCGGCGTGGCAGAGTAGCTGCTGCGGGCTCCTGGGGGGGCCTCTCGGTGGCGTCCTGGCGATCTCGACGGCCACATGGATGGGGTGGGAGGTTTTCAATGTATGATCGAGCACCACCGATCGGGCCTCCATTGGGGCCCTGCTGGGTCTTCC